TTAGGCATCCAAATTCATTTTTGCAAACCCCTTCATCTATATAAGCTTAAGCTTAACCCTTCGTCCCTTCACGACGTTCTTGCAAGATAATCTTAAAGGATAGGCACATAGCGTCCAAAACTTTTTTTTAGATCGATAAAAGAGGAATCATTCCTTCATACATATTTTTTGGGTATTTTGGACCATTTATGCAGCGTACGCCTCGGAAACCCATAATGAGGAATAATTTTCCCATTTTTTTTTCACATTTCTCGCTATATCTTCGCTTGTATTAGTCACAGGGCGATGTTTTATAGCCTACAGCCTTCCTCAATACATGCTCTAGCCAACAAGAATTTCTAATTGAACCAGTAGTTCCTTAGCGCGTTCAAACATACAAACAAACAAACGCTTCAACTTTATATATTAGTATAGATAGATTTTTCTGCGGAGTTTTCATTGATTGTTAAAGTTTAGTGTGTACCCGGGATTCGAACTCTATACAGCCTTAAGTGTTTACCAGTCAGCCACGAGGGCGGAACTGTCTCGACAGATTCTATAATAGGTGTTACTATTAATCGTATGTCAAATGTTTTTGTAGAACAAATTATGAGCTATTATTCAAAGCGAGTGTTTATCGGTCAAAATATGGTACCGTTTGAACATATGACGCTCCGTTTATGGTGTGTTACGGTATCATAATACAATACCACCAATATTTCACGACTAAGACCGGTTGAACTATTGGCTTCATATCACTGGAGAGAATAAAGTAATGTTCACGACGAAATATACAATGTAAGGCGTAGTAATTTGAATTTTAAATGTAAGTAAACACTTTAAGCGTTTTAAAATTCGAAATATATTAGTTTACCTATTTATAATTTATTTTAATTACGGCCGGACGTTCCAGATGCTTTGCAGTAACTGTGGTCACGGGGGAACTGAAAACGGAGGGTGTCCCTAATGACAAATTAAAAACTGCTACGCTAGCGCAATCTGTTTCGTCGTTTAGTTAGTATTTATTACTTACTTGCGGTGTGGATTACTTGAATTGCTTGAATTATATTGACCGAATAATTTTTTTTACTAAGACGATTCGAACCCGGACTTTAACGCAACGTGTTTTATTACGGAGTTATAATAGATATCATTATATATTTAGAATCGACAGATTGTTATCTTCCTTCAAAGCCATGTTACTCAATAGTTTTAGATAATTCCAATATGGTAAGATAATATAGAAAATTATGTATTTTATAATTTCAAGTCAATTCAAATACCATTTTGGTGGTAAAACTTTCACACCCTTTTTGAAAGACAAAAGTGCGGTATGAAATTATGTGTTATACCTCCATACTTTTGGAGCGCTATTCATCCTTTTGCGATATAGTACTGTTAGAAGAAATTATTAATTCTGTTATGTATTAATAATATTTATTCTCTTATGTTTGCCTTGATTGTGTAGTGGGTATAATACCGATCTGGGGTCGGCTTTTATTTTTTTTATGATATAGGATAAACAAACCTAGGATTCACTAGATAGAAGGTGAGATACGCCAGGTATATAAAATCTTGCCAAGATGGGCTCTCGACTTATTGGCTGTGACTTTTTGTATTTGGAATTTTCATTTGTGAATGATGGTTCATGACAAGGACTGAATTTCTATATTGTTACCAACCATTTGTTATCCAAATTTCGAGACATAACCCACGAATAGAAATATAGCTAAATAACAACGGGTCGTGGACAACCATTGGAGCTTAAAACTAAGTACTATTTTAGCTACTGAGAGCGAACATCTTTTGGGCTTTGTGGCATGTACACATACCTAAATTAAGGGTCTTAGGTTCGAATCCCGGAAGAAAACTATTCGGGAAGACCTGTCTGCCCCGTATTCCATTCAGCTCAAGAAAGGGAGTAGTAGCAATTTAATAATTTATAGCCTAAAATATGAAATGTCGTTATTCCGGTACGTACTTGGCTGTTTTGTACTTTTTATTTGAGTTTTATTTCATTAACCGCGATACCATCTAGCCACCCACGCTGGAACATAATGACTTGCCATATCAAAACAGGACAGTCGGGTAGAACAGTGCGTTACTGTACCGTTAGAAGGCATTAAAACAATTTCATTTTTAAACCTTAAATTAAACATACATATACTAGTAAATACAAATATCTTGAAATCTTGATTATAATTGTTCGTTATGAACCATATATATTATTTTTAATTGATTACCGAACGTATCGCTTTAAAAAGTTGTATCATAATGTTCGCCTGTTTAGTTGATTGACTGCGAGGTATGATATCCAAGATTCAAGTTCCATGGATGAGCTTTAAAAGTACCTAGGTAATTTACTATTGCAAATTCACATAATATTACAAGAAGCAATTAAAGACCCTATGCCACGCAAACATGCGTGTAAATTAACATAAAAGTCATTTTAAAGTACCAAAAACCATGTCAAAATATAAAAATGTAGGAAAGTATAGATATATCTATACAATTTTCTTATAAGGTACTTTTAATAAAGGCTTATTATAACTATTCATCGATAGAGCCCGCCAACTTGCGCAGGACCAGCGTGGTGGGTTAAAATTCTTAAATCTTTTATCCTTTATAAAAAACCTAAGCGTGGGACCGTTTTTTTTTTAAGATTTTGGTAAGAGCTTCTCCACGTGACTGTACCGGGTTACTTATTGCGTAGAGTTCGTGTCCTCTACACCCTTTAGAGAAAGTTATAAGGTCGACGTCTAATTATAACAAGACTTAGTATAACGGAGAATTCGCTATAAAACCTTTTTCGACGAAAGGTGAAGAATTATTTAATGGTCGACACAACTGCACTTTTGATCCTATATGCATTTTTGATATTAGCACAGATGACATTTACAACACGACACAGTTAGGACATGTAAAATGGCATTATTTTAATATATTACAGTAAGACATTACTAAATACTGCCTGTAGTTTACGCGAGTAGTACACATTAAAATAAAGCATTTTAACGGTTTAAAACGCGATATATATTAGTTAAACTTATTTGAAAATTATTTTAGCTACGGCCCGACATTTCGGATGCTTTGCATTTTGTCGCATGACTTTTGTCGAACGTGTAATCGAATCAATACTAAATCTAACAATTTAATTATATAGATAGTCAGTTAAATTGCATAAGAAAACTAGAGGTACTAGGTACCTACTTATGAATGTTTAAATGTTTGTAAAATATATCTAGTACTAATGTTATAGAAAAATAAAGCATTTAGTTGGCAATTTAACAAATTAATTTGAAAATAGCAAGTACTTACGAGTAGAAAACGTGTAGTTATGCTAAAAATCAATACATATTCATATAATACATCTAATTAGGGACGTAAATCACACATGGACCATATAAGTGGGACAAAAAATATTCAAAAGTGCCCACCGCCATATCAGTAGTACAATTCAGTATTGCATTCTTCGCCTATAAAGGGGCAGTGACAACTTAATTAAGTTAAAATTTATTATGAAACCGTCAAGCGTGTGTTGGGCTCGTAGGGTTTCGGATACTCTGTATAAGTTTTCTTTTGTTTTCAGAAATACATAATTTCACTTGAATGACACTTAAAGCATGCCAATCTAAACTAAGAACGACTATTTATGATTTTAGAACTATAGATGTTTGTGGGATAAACAGATACTTATATTATTTAAAATTATATAAGAACGATTTGAATTAAACACTTTAACGGTTTAAAACGCGATTAGTTAAACTTATTTCAGATTGTTTTACTACAGCCCGATGCTTTTCAGTAGCCTTTAAAAACATTTCCAAATAAGTTTAACTAATATACATCGCGTTTTAAACCGTTAAAGAGCTACTCGCGCAAACTATAGACTATAGTATTTATATAAGAACGTTTTATTTTGTTTAACTACCTTTAATATTCCCTCAAATTTAATTTAAAGATATCTACATACGATAATATACACAAGTCAAAATTTATTATATAATATATGTAAATAGAAATAACTCAATAGCTACACGGTCAAGGAACAAGTCGTTTTGTACATTTGAAATTCAAATTTGAAGATTGCTTTTTTGTGCTGACTCACGGTCTTTTAGATGTTGATTCAGATTTACAATTTTTGTAATTGAAAAATATCATTTCAACTTCTAAGATTAATTATGTGCATACGGAAAGATTTAGAAGAAGCAACTAATGTAGAAATAATAATTTAAGTAAAAACGTTAAGAGAAGTAATATTATTTGATTTATTTCGTATTTCATACATCAATTTATATAAATGTATTTCTTATCAATTTAAATAAAACACTTTAACGGTTTAAAACGCGATATAATTCAAAAAGATTTCAATAAGTTTAACTAGTATATCGCGTTTTAAACGATTAAAGTGTTTTATTTAAATGTGTACTACTCGCGTAAACTATAGACAGTATTTACTTGTTATAAAGTTAAAAAGTAGCAATACCTAACTCTACAAGGAAAATGTCTATAGCAATGTAACCCTTGGATATATAATTGTTTGCGTTATATATTATTTATTCATTTATTATTTCGTTAAAAGTCGAAGCAGTACATACTAAAACCACAAATCGTATTGTCTGGTGTTGACGTATTAGTTGATTAACTATCCTCGCAAACCCCACTTCGCACTCCCCTACGAAGAACTTTTTGGTGCTAACTCCCCATTATTGACCCATTAACTTACAGCTTGACCCATTAGATGTGGTCAAGCTGTAAGCGAGCATAGTGATCTAATTGATATACACATGAACTCACCCAGCAACATTTGCACCTTGCTATCTTCAGCCCTCTTAGTTTAAAATACGCTGTGTTTTAATCTTAAGTGGATATAGTCATATAATTGTATATCTTAGCAACAACCTAATGTTTATATATTATAAATTATATTAAGTTAAATTGTATGTAATTCTGATAAAACGTCGACAGTCCTTGGTTTAATAAATAAATTCATGACCGCTCATTTTAAAAACAAATGAATATCACTCACCTAGCATTTTACTGAGATCAGCATTGTGCAGGTCTGGGTTCTCATCAGCCAACTTCTTCCGCTCCACTTTAGCCCACACCATAAACGCGTTCATGGGTCTCCGTATCCTGGCTTCCTTCAGAGCTTTCGCCTGTCCCATCTTGGTGGTAAATGGTGCTCTAGCGAACTGCTGAGTGGAGAAATCCCTAGACTCGTAAGGATTTCTGTAGTCGTATTGGGTTCTATAGTCTATGCCGTATGGGAGAGTGGACCAGACGACGAGCTCCGGGCTGGTCTGTTCCTGAGTTGAGTCTGTACTATTGTCGACAGCCCCTTGGACGTACTGCTCGTAGCTTCTGTGGTAAGTTGGCGGCGACTCTATTCCAGCGCCTCCAGAGTCCATCATACTATAAAAAATGGTTCAAATTAAAATAGGTACATCTAAATTGTAAATTTACAAACTTATTATTATCAATATTTATTTTTAAAAATATAATATAATTTGATTAATTTCATTTCTGAAATCTTTATAGAAAAACTTTAGTTTACGCGAGTAGTACACATTTAAATAAAACACTTTAACGGTTTAAAACGCGATATTTTAGAAACCTATTTGAAACTATCGGTCTCTCCGTGACCACGGCTGCTGCAAAGCATCCGAAACTCGGCCGAAGTTAAAAATCATTTTCAAATAATTTAAAAATATATCGCGTTTTAAACCGTTATAGTGTTTTATTTAAATCTTTATAGAATACAAAGAGGATAAATATTTTCCATTAAAAAGCACGTGTTAAAATTTCAATTTTTTACTGAATGCAATAATATTTTTTCCCGGAAAAATTTCGATTAAAATCTATCACATATTTGATACTACTTATAAAACTGAACATGTAGAAAAACTTAAGTCTCTGGGATTATAAAAGTATATTCTATTGATGTTTCCAGTATCTATGATGTCTCCATCGTGTTATCGAAAAAGCTGTCGTGTTCATAGACAGTAAAGTGATGCCACATAGGTGTATCAAGGTGCACATATCAATTGATGCACAGCGCTTCTTTCACGTGTTCTCCCCTCCCTGACGACAAAAAGTCCGATTCTACAAACGCGACCCAACATTTCTCTAAGAAACCACCTAAGTCGAGAGTCCTATTGCGTCGGGGATCGATTAGCTCTTGCGACAACGAGACGTGTCGGCTTACCATCGTTTCCTCATATCGTTAGTTCTGTGATATAGACCACTTGACACCGGCGTATTTTATGAATTCCACATTTACCCGTGAAATCAGAAGCTGTACCCGTCCGTATATACCTATATTAACTAATATATAAAGCTGAAAAATTTGATTGAACGCGCTAATCTCAGGAACTAGGTACTGGTTCGAATTTAAAAATTATATAAAACATATATTTCCTCTGGTCTCTCAAAAAAAAATTTTCTTCGTAAAAAAAACAGTTAGCTCACTTCAAAATCACCCCCTTACGCAATCGTAGAATCATCTCCGACGCTATATTCTTATCTAAATTATTACAAAATAAAATTGACTCTCCCCAGCTATTTACACAAAGTAAGTTACTATGCCCCATCCAAATATCCTCGCAAACCCTGAACCCCTACTTCGCACTCCAATACGAAGAACAGTGTTTGGTGCTAATTCGCCACTATCGAGATGCTGTCAAGTTGCAAATGAGCATAGTCACTTAATCGATCTACACCTGGATTTACCCAGAAAACTTAGTAGTTTGTTGTCTTCAGCCCTCTCAGTTTAATTTAGTTAATATAGTCGTATATCAAAGTAATAACCTTTCCAATGTACAACTTAGTCCTCACTTTGTATTTGCCTTGCATGTTGTGTCTGTCTATTAATATATATGTTATATATAATTGTGATAAAATGTCGACAGTCCTTATCCAATAAATAAATAAACATCACACTGTGACAAATAGGAGGGAAGAAACATAGGGAAATGTGGAAACGGGGACGATTATTCGTCTTTGAGGGTTTCCAACGCGCTATAAGGTATATATATATATATAAAATATATATATATATATATATATATAATGTCCGCGACACTATTTGTTTATATTTTAAGATTAACTTGCAAGAACAACGGGACGTGACCAAGGTCGTGGGTTAAATGTATAAACATAAAGCGGAGGTTTGCAAAAACAAATTTGGTTGCCCAAAATAAATATTCTACACGGAGGAAGATGTCGACACAGTTAGTATGCCTCAGGCACATTTAAACCCTGTGTGAAATTCGTTCGGAATTAAATTTTGAAAGATTTTTTTAAACAGCCAGATTTATTTGAAATTTAAATATTTATTCCACAGACTATACAAAACGACGTAGTACACAACTGTCATGCAGACAATGTTTAGAGATTGCTAGAGATATTCAGTACTGAAACGGTTTTTCAGGATTCAACGTTTACTCAAATACCAAAAATATTAAGTATATATATCCCTCATATGCTCTCTCTGCCAAATTCTATATTTTTAATTTTTTTCACATTTTACTACACATGATGACATTATATACTTAAATTGAAAAATGATTTAGATTGACAATAAATACGACACAGGGGGAAGTAAACTGGCATCCACATAGCTTTCGGTACTGTGAGCGACGTGTATGACATAGCTCATTGGTTTGACTGCAGAACGGAACGCTGTAAATGCCTTCAACTCCCTCTGTCGTATTTTTTTTTTGGGTTTCTAATTATTTATATTTCTGTCACAAGTAGTTACAATAAAAATAATGATTTTAGATTACATAGCAGAACAGAATGCGAACCTACCACATAGATAAACCCATTTGACACCAAGTAATAAGAAGCACGGCAACCACACAAGAAGTGTAAATCCATTTTTAAATAAAACTTGGCGCCGGATATGACACAAGGTTCTTGGAAATATAGCGCTAGTGGAATCAATTATATGATTATTTAAACGACGAAGTGTTTTACTGTCAAATATATTTCCACAGTTACAGACATATATTTGTGTTCATTACACAAAAGGGTGAGCTCATCACACACTCGTTACGCAATCGTTACACGTTTTCAAAGAATATTCGAAAGGTTGGGGATTCGATGTCGTATTTAAAAGGTTTGCATCATATCCCTATCATAGCTTAAAACAATCTGAAGACTATAATATTTTTCACATGTTATTTTCACATGATGACACTATATAAATTAAAATTGAAAAAAATTACGAGTCAGACAGGACTTGAACCGGCGTCCACAGCGTTACGTGCCGTTGCTCTAACCAATTGAACTGCAGTGTCCTTTACCGTCATCGTCGAAATTTTTTAACCTATATACATGCAACTGCTTACATGTAGTCCATCCTGCTCGAGTCGTATATTAAAAAAATAATAATCGACTTTTAATTTGAAGAGTCTGCTAAACAAGTGTTCGCTATTGGACTTTATAGAAATAGAGGAGGTTACACTTCTGTAATTTATGTATAGCGCTATTTTTTACGCACAGTCGAGTAAAGTAGCAGTAAATTCGAGAACGCATCACTAGATGAATCGAGTGAAATCAACAACAATGCGTTCCCACAGCGGCGCCCGCTTTCCGAGAATGTATGGTGTCGAGTAAGCCGCTAACTTTCATATAAATTGGGAATCTACTTCTTGTGCGGTTATGAATTCTTGGTACTTGTCTATGTTGGTGGTGTCCTATTAAGATTATCTACCACAAATGCAATAGACCGCCTCTGTAGCCAAATGGTTAAACGTATTGCCTAGCATTGCGTTATGCACGAGAGGTTCTGGCTTCGAATCCCAGGAAAGAAAAATAAAAAGTTGTACCGGTAGGGCACAGAGTTGATTAACTACTTGACTGTTAAAAAGAACAGATCAGTGAAACGGACACGGAAATATGTTCGCCCCACGAGGGGGAAACGGGATTTCAAACACCACAGGTGCATATATAAGTTTCTTTTAATGATGGAGGAGGATAGACGAGTTGGATGAGGTGGAGTTCACTCGATACTCTATGCTTGTCTGTGCGTATCTGTCTCGGTGAAATACGCCAGCCAGCATCTAAATAAGATCCATAGACTAAGACCGAAATATAGATTATCTTTAGGCTTTTTCATTGGACGGTGCTTCGTAAACCGTAATAAGCAATTTTGTCTATGGCTTGGTGACAGGGTATAAATTAGTTATGTTAGAAACGCAATAACTTTGATTAGTGTTTTTATAGCAATTAGCAATCAGCCAGAAAATAACGTAAAAATCGATCCGAACGAGTCCTTCACAGTAATTATACAATTTGCATAATATCGTAATTGTGGCCGCCATCTTTAAATTATACCTACCGATAAATTATTTACGCGTGCAGAAACTTTGTCTACGCTGCGATGACGTCACGAAAGTCTTTTACGTCATTAATATACGTTTTAATATGACGTATTGTGATTGAATTCTATTGTGCTTTTCAAACGCGAGCTACTATTTACGGCAGTTGACACATCCGCGACAAACCGCCCTATGTTGAATCACTTCCCTTTCCTTGTAGAGAACGTTTGAGAAGTCTATAGCTGTCCTTAATAAACATTGGAGGATAATATTATTGATTTGTATATTTTGACGGGCACGTTTGTTTAAGGTGTCGCTAATGATATGGGGTTGATCTTTTCTTACAGTGACTGTAGGTTTTTTATTTTCGTAAGCGGTACAAAAGAATTAATCTTCTTTATATAATCTAAATAAATGTCCGTGACAGTATATTTCTGTCTCTTATGGTTAACACACAAAACCTATCTTTATGGTAAACAAAAGTGGTCGAAACTGTCTGGATGGTAAAGAAACGTTTACCAGGTCAGCTAGGTATTAACATCGCTTTAAAAAATCTCAACAGGTACTGTTTTTCTCGAATATGCACCATAACAACATAATACTTCAGTTGCGACATTTACTAACAAACATTGATTTGCACTTGTAATTAAACAAGACATTTATGAACACTACGTTAAAGAACTTAATTTTCGAACTCCACTTATTTTACTCGTGACACCAACGACAGGTGACTTCTAGAGTGGAGGTTAACTTAAAAGACTGGTATATTTAGACTTGCGAGTATGGATAATATACTCGTCAAAATATATTTTTTTAACCATGGTTTTTTCTTAAAAAAAAAACTTAAAAAGCCCCAACTTACGAGTATGGATAAAATTTACCGTTACTCGTGCAAAATATAAACGTTTTTTATAGGGGGGGGGGGGTATTTTGGGGAAAAAAAATTTAACGGTTTAAAACGCGATATATTTAAGTTGAACTTGTTTGAAAATTATTTTTAGCTACGGCCCGACGTTTCTAATGCTTTGCTGCTGCAAAGCAAACCGTTAAAGTGTTTTATTTAAACACTTTAAAATTATAAGTATTATA